CAGATTGAAGCAATTATCCTGCCTCACCCTCCTGAGTAGCTGGAATTACAGGCACCCACACCACTTCTGGCTAATTTTTTGTATTTTTAGTAGACATAGGTTTTCACCATGGTGGCGAGGCTGGTCTGCAACTCCTGACCCCAGATGATCCACCGGCCTCGGCCTCCCAAAGTGTTGGGATTGTAGGCGTGAGTCACAGCGCCCAGCATAAATACACTTATAAAAGAAGTTTTAGGTTGACAAAAAAAAAAGTGTGAAAAGTAGAAAGTTCCCTAAACCCCCCAACACCCCTACCCCACAGTTTCTTCTATTATTAACATCCTGTATTAATGTGGCACTTTTGCTGCAATCAGTGAGCCAATATTGATAGCTTATTACAAATTAAAATCCATAGTTTACATTAGGATTCACTCTTTTAGTTGTATATTCTATGGATTTTGACAAATGCATAATGACATGTATCTAACATCAGACTATCACACAGACTAGTTTCACTGCCCCTAGAATCCTTCGTGCTTCATCTATTCGTTTTTCTCTCCTTCCCTCAAGCTCCTGTCAATCACTGATGTTTCAAAATTCTTTATGGTTCCATAGTTTTGTCCTCCCTGGAATGCTATATCGTTGGAATCATATGGTATGTAGCCTTTTCAGGTTGGCATCTTTCACACAGCAATATACCTTTAAGGATCGTTCACATCTTTTCATGGGTTGATAATTCATTTATTTTTATGTTGCTGCCCTTTCCTTACAATCAAGATATTATTACATCCTTCCTGGCTGAGGATACATGCTCTTTCCCAGGATGCTGGAAAGTGAATGCTCCATTAGTGCATTAGGGACATAGAAATATCTATTGTCCCTTGTATCTGTACATTATCTTCTCAGGCAGCTTCCCGTAATGCTGGGTTCTCTGGGGTCTTTATGAATACTCTGTGGGTGAATCACCAGTCTGGCTATACAGACATATGAATATGATCAGCATAACCTGAGGAAAAATACCCAAATGATGATTCCAATCTGCTTTTCTTTTAGGTGGGTCATCAAGGGATGCTGATTGATATAGTTTCTTCAAATAACTCAGAGTTGTTTCGTTAACAGTTTGCCTTCAGGTCACTTCTCCATTTCCAGGGTAAGCAAATCCAGGGTTTGTCTCAGCATGGATCCTGACCTATACCCCAACTTAAGAGAATTAAATGTCTTAATTATCTTGCTCTGAGGCACTCTCTCAGGAAAAGAAAAATAACATCCTTTCCCATTTGCCATTTATGGGCTCTCTTACTATCTCTCAGTTTCTCCCTTTCCATTTTCACCTGTCTTATCTCAGATTTGTCCTCTTCAGGTGAGACTTTTCTGGTTCAGTCATTCTATCATCTACAGGCAAGTAGCAGAAACAGCTGTCCTTGAACATCACCTTTTGTCCACTTTTAAGAAGGAGTACAGTTGGAAGGGTAAAGATTACAGAACTATTTACCAGAGGCAGTGGGCCAGCATTTCCAGCCTCTGTTAGCCACATGATGTGGAGACCTCAGTCGCTCTATCTGTTCCCTTAGGAATATTCATACTTTCTGAAGAATTGGTGTAATGTTTGCATGGTGATTCTTCCCAGGATGCAGGACACGCAGTGATCCCAGATCTGGTACAACTCGATGCAGTAAAATAAAAAGAATTTTTTTTTTTTTTTTAGACAAGAGTTTTGCTCTTGTTGCTCAGGCTGAAGTGCAATGGTACAATCTTGGCTCACTGCAACTTCCGCCTCCCAGGTTTAAGTGATTCTCCTTACTCAGCCTCCTGAGTAGCTGAGACTACAGGCGCCCACTACCATGCCCAGCTAATTGTGTATTTTTAGTAGAGACAGGGTTTCTCCATATTAGTCAGGCTGGTCTTGAACTCCTGATCTCAGGTGATCCACCCGCCTCAGCCTCCCAAAGTGCTGGGATTACAGGCGCGAGCCATGGCATGCAGCCAAGAAGGATGTTTTTGAGGTGAGAAAGTCAGAGATTATCCTCAGACCTTTATCTTCATCCCCATATCCCAGAAACCTTTTCAAAGGTATTTCTCTGAGGGAATGTGTTCTCTTTCCGGGTCCATGAGGGAATGTAGTTTTAAGGGCAAGAATTTCCCAAAGCCATGCCCCCACTCCCATCTCTCTCCATCTGGGAGATTCAACAGTTTATGTTTGAATTTTGAGGGCACCGGAAGAAACTAAAAGTTAATCACTCCAGCAGAAGTTCTTTTTTTTTTTTTTTTTTGAGATGGAGTTTCGCTCTTGTTACCCAGGCTGGAGTGCAATGGCGCGATCTCGGCTCACCGCAACCTCCGCCTCCTGGGTTCAGGCAATTCTCCTGCCTCAGCCTCCTGAGTAGCTGGGATTACAGGCACGCGCCACCATGCCCAGCTAATTTTTTGTATTTTTAGTAGAGACGGGGTTTCACCATGTTGACCAGGATGGTCTCGATCTCTTGACCTCGTGATCCACCCTCCTCGGCCTCCCAAAGTGCTGGGATTACAGGCTTGAGTCACCGCGCCCGGTCTCCAGCAGAAGTTCTAAGGAACTCCTTTCATTGGCCCAGGGTGTTGGAGAAGGTGGGGGTTTCGCCCAGAATAAAAGTCCATGTTCCATCACCTGTGCAGGATTTCCAACTTTCTGGAATCCTGGGATTTCCCCTCTGGAATCCCCTTCCACACTCTTACTAGAAGCCTTTCTCTTCTCCTTTCCTTCTCTTTTCTCTACATAAATAAAATCACCTTTCTGCAACAGTTTTCTGGGTCCGATATTTTACTTTGCAAGCATAAGGTGCAGCTGAAGCGGCCCCACTGCTTATTCTTTAAGAGGTTGGAGGCCAAGAACCCACAACATTCGAGAAGAAACCCAGTTACACCTCCTTCACTGTCCCTCAAATTCGGATAAGGTATTTACTCAGGAGTCAGCTCAGTTCTTCATGTCTCTAGCACATCCATATTTTAGTAAAGGTGTTTTGATTCCAGTTTGAGGATGGTAGGCGATATATTAAGATACTTAATATTAAGCTTCTTACCTCATGTTGGTACATACTAATAGCAGTGGCATGTCACCTTATCAATAAAATGCAGTTGGTGGGAACCAAACTGATCGACAATCTGTTTTTCCAAACCTTTAAGGAGGCTTAAATTTTAATAATCTCCATTCTCAGCTAGATAGCTCTTCCATGACATCAACCCCATTTTATGTCTTTCAAACAAAATAGTTGCCCCTTGGACAATGTAGGTTTGAACTTTACTGCTCCACTTAAATATGAATTTTCTTTTACCGCTACCACCCCTGAGATGGCGAGACCAATCCCTGCCCTGTCTCCTCCTCCCCAGCCTACTCAACATGAAGAAGACAGGATGGAGAGCTTCATAAAGATCCATGTCCACTTAATGAATAGTAAATGTGTTTTCTTCATGATTTTCTTAATAACGTTTTCTTTTCTCTAGCTCACTTTATTGTAAGAATACAGTGTATAATACATATAACATAGGAAGTATGTGTTAATTGACTGTTGGTGTTATTGGTAAGGCTTCCAGGCAACAGTAGGCTATTAGTTAAGTTTTGGGTGAGTCTATAATGATATGTGGACTTTCCACTGCACAAGGCTTGGTGCTCCTAATCATTGTATTGTTAAAGGGTCAACTGTACATGTATTTGTTGTTTTCTTAACACAGGAACATTGGAAGATAAATTAGTGAGCCATGTGTGATACTTAATGTTTCTTATAATATAGACTTCCTCAAGTTCAAAAAAATAGGAGTTTTCTCTATTATACTCTGTTCTTGACTCACTTCATGTTAGATACAATGAAATTTGTGGAGTCCTTTATGAATCACTGAAAATGCAAACTGCTTTAAGATTTTTCAATATATTGAATAAAAGGGGAAAGAATAGTATCTTCTAGTTTAGCTTATTAAGGGGTGTCCAACCTTTTGACTTCCCTGGACGACATTGAAAGAAGAGCTGTCTCGGGCCACACATAAAATACTCTAACACTAATGGTAACTGATGAGCTGGAAAAAAAAGATCCATGCATAATTTTCATGATCTCCACCACTACAGATAAGCAAGAAAGTTCTTACATTCAAAGGGTTGCACGTGGCTATAACTAGAATCAATATTTGGATAAGTAGGCCAGGCACGGAGGCTCATACCTGTAATTCCAGCTATGAAATTGGGTGGCTGAGGTGGGTGAATCACTTGAGGTCAGGAATTTGAGACCAGCCTGGCCAACACGGTGAAACCCCATTTCTACTAAAAATACAAAAATTAGCCATGTTTGTGGTGGGTGTCTGTAATCCCAGTTATTTGAGAGGCAGAGGTAGGAGAATTGCTTGAACCAAGAGGCAGATGTTGCAGCACAGGTTGTAATGGCTGAGATCACACCACTACACTTTATTCCAGGCAAAAGAGCAAGACTCCAACTCAAAAAAAAGTGGGTAAGTAGAGGAATTGTAATAAAGTTGGAAGCTGCACACCACATCTGTGGGAGAATTTCTCCAGAATATTTACCCAAGATTGGGATTTCTGAGTCATGAGATATTCGTATTCCTAATGTTACTACCATCAAACTGTACTGGCCTCATTCCCATGGAACTAGCACTTGCTTATCTTTAAGCTGGAAAACAATATTAGGAGTTTTAGAAGTTATTCTTTTGTACCTGAAAGAAATTGCAATAGCACTGAAAATAAATTAGGAGATAGAATTCTTTCACTTGATTATTATTTTTTTGTTTTTATGACTTGATCATTATCTCTTAAATATGTTTGAGAAGTCCCCAAAAAGTCACCATTAATTGAATATTCTGAGAGACCAAAAGTAGGTCTACTACCTGAGGGAAAGGGAAAACACTGAAACTCTTAAATTTCCTCTCTGGACTAAATATGTAAATAGAAGTACTTGGGGAAAAAATGAGAAAACGTCATGTACTTTCAACATAATACAGATTTAATTTATTTTCAGTTATATTTATGTTAAGTACCACCTGCATGGGAAACATAAATTTCTGTCTCTCCAAAAGTCATTTACAATAGAAAACACCAGATAAAAGGAGGAAAAAAGTATGTTGAATCTTAGTGAAAATAAAAATTCTTTAAAACTCTATAAAGCATAAATTATACATATTATTTCTTGAATAAAGAAATATATTGTCTTTTCACATACAGTTTATTGGGTCTAGTTTACATAGTCATAAAGAATGTCTTTTTTTCACTACACTAATATTCATTCATTGAAAACAGTATGTAAGATGTCCGTTACATAATCTTGACTGTTCTAAGTGCAGGGAACACAAAGGTGAAAAAGATAGTGCCTATTTCCTTATTTCTAATATATGTATAAATATACATACATACAGAGACAAATAGAAAGGCAGAAATATTTATAAAAAGATATATATCATTAATGGCTTTTATTGAACTCTCAAAACTATAACAAAGTGACATAACAATGAATTAGTCATGATAAATCTGAAGGTATCATGAAGGGAAAAGCACATTATTTTAGCCTAAATGAATATCAGCACTCCTCTATCCTATTTTTATTTCCCAGATGCTGAGGTGGAGGAGTCCACTGGGTCATATCAGGTATCTTCAGTAAAAAGAAAATGCATATCCAGTAGAAACTGGTGACTATGTATTCAATAATTTCTATGATTGTGATCAGACTGGCCCCACAAAATAGACCCAGCTGACCACCAAGATCTGCTGTAATAAAACCAATTTAAAAAAATTAAATGTCATTATTTTTCATAAAAAGCAAATTGAACATTATTAGAAGTTAAATTAGTTGAAGCAAAACATAATCATAAATGATATGAAGAGAGATTAATGGTATTATTTTAACATTTGATATGAATAAGGCAATAGCAATTGATAAAATCGAAGTAATACTCATACAAATCATCATAAAAAGCAGAGAAGAAAAGCAAACATAAAATCTGATTCCAAACATATAACTCAAAGATTTTGGAGGATATAAAATTTAGGTAAATTCATTAGAGAGCCTAGATAATTACAAACTCGTTTCTAGGTGTTAAGTGAGGAGTAGAAACGTGCCATCCAGGTGGCACCACTGGATGATGATGCTTTCCAGAAAATTGATTTCCAGGCAAGTTGTGACACCAAGTGTCAAAACTTTATTTCTGTTTATGCATTCATATTTTTCCTTTATCCAAAATATATTAACACAGCATTGCTTTTTTTGATATTTTAAAATTTATATTTCCTGTTTGGGATTTTTTTATGGTGGTGAAATAGATATGACATAAAATTTACCATTTTAACCATTTTTAAGCATACAGTACTGTGGCATTAAATACATTCATGTTGTTATGCAGCCATTCCATTATCTTCATCTATTTCCACGACATTTTCATCTTCCCTAACTGAAAGTCTGTATGCATTAAACTCTAACTCCTCACTCTTCCTCTCCTTGGCCCATGACAACCACCATTTTACTTTCTGCCTCTGAATCTGACTACTCCTGCAGTGCTTTCATAAATAGATTAGATTATCAATATTATCTCATTGCCCTGGGCCATTCTTAGGACCATTCTGCCTTTGTAACATGTGATAATGAAGTATAGGCTTCTCCAAGAGCTTTGGTGAATTTGCATATTTCGTCCATATTCAGGGTCTCAGCTGCAATGTCTGACTGCTGTCACTTTTGTGTGAGTCTAAGGCCTTCTGTCTCCGACATGGAGGTGGCTTCCTCTAAGATGTGGTGAGATGTAGGAAATCGGCCATTTTATTTTTTAAGGTCTGTGTGGGGAAGGCAAATGAGCAGGCACTGCTTGTAAACAAAATGCCCAATTTTGCTTCCTCAGGTTCTTCTTTTTAAGCCACTCTGGGGTGGAGCCCTGTTTCGAGGTATGAGGTGGCTGAAACATTCTACAAGACTCACTTCGTGAGGGATCTGAAGGTAAAGTTTGATGTAAATGTGGGTATGAGATGAAACGCCACCAGCATTGTTTTAAATAAAAGTCCATGTGAGTTTGTGTAGTGTTTTCTAGGGAGTGGAAATCTGTCAGATTTAAATAGCAGCTGAATGAAGTTCAATTGATTTTCAGTGGTTTTAGCTTGTCAGTGGGACAAGAAGTTCAATTGATTCTTGTCCTTCACTGACAAGCTAAACTTTAAATGTGAAAGAAAAAAAAAAAACTGATGACATTTTTTTAAAAATAAAAAGCAATTAAATGACACTTACCAAGTAACTCAGACACACTCACTGCCTTTTGTTGCTGGGTTATCTTATAGTTTAGGTCACTATAATTAATTTCAATTTTTACAAGATTCTCCCTAGGGATAAAAAAGTAGTGTTAATACAGCTTAAGATTGTCAGCATTACTTTTAATTCCCATCAAATAAAAGTAATATTCATTTTGGTTTTAAATACTACTTAATGCTAAACTGGACACATAATTGTTTTTAATATTAATCACGATTAGCAGGATTTAGAAGGCATTTTTGTCATGTGGTTTTTAAGAAAAAGTAATTTTCCCCAATAATTTTTCTGCATCTCATTCCTGAGAAACTAGAAAAAGATATGAAATGTAAATATCTACTGAATAGACTAAAGTATTTACAAACATTTAAACATGTGTTTAATTTTCATTCAAATCTTGGTTCTGTCTTTTGTTATTTACAGGACCTTCAAGAAATCATGCTGGATTTTTTGAGCCCTGGTTTCCTCATGAGTAGTCAGGATTTTACAGTTGAGCTCATAGAGTTGTAGCGAGGTGAAATTAAATTATGTATATGCAAAATTGACACAAAATTGAGTGTTTGATGAATAATAATTATTAACTATATGTTATTAACATACTTAGGCAAAGACTCTATTTTCTTAATGTCTATTAGAAATTTTTATATGTGACCAGAGCAGGTGAACATCTTTTAAACACTAACAGCTCATTACACGGTCTTGGAAACCCTCAGTTTCTCTATCTCCAGCCCAGTCTCCTACCTTGAACTTCAATACTATATTCAGTTCATTCTTATGTTTCTACTTGGATGCCTAATACATGTTTCAACTTTCACATGTTCCAAGTCAAATGCTTCATATTTTCCCTATTTATACTGTAAATTTTCACATTCCATAGCCAATCCATCAGGAAATCCCATTTTTTTGTGTTACCTTCAAAATATATCGGGACTCCTATGACCTCTCACCCCATTCAATACTACCATCTTTGCCCAAGCCTTCATGACCTCTCACCTGGATTTTTGCAATAGTTTGTTAACTGGTCTTTCTGTTTCCTACTTTAATGCACCCCCACTTCAACAAGTAAACACCCTCTATTCTGCACATGGTAACCAAAATATATACATGCATCTTGTCAAACCATGTCACTTTTCTCCCAACTCCACTGCCCACTCCATGCAGAATTCTTAATATACTGTAAGTCAAACTCCTCCATGGAGTTTTGAGAGCCACTACTCTAGGTCTTTGCTCCACTGTCACCTTCTCAGGAAGGACTTTCCTGACCATAATCCACAACACTGAGAACAACCCTCCTTGACCCTGGCTTCCCCAGACTGCTTTTCTCTGCTGCTCTCCCACAGGGCTTAGCACCATCTGACATGACTGTATATAGTGATCACCCAGTTATATCCCAGTGGACAGAAGCCCAGCAAGGCAGAATTTTTGTCTTTTACACACGGATGCATCCCTAATGCCTAGAATACTCCTGAATCCTAACAAATAATAAGTTGCTCCTTAGATATATGTAAAATGGACAAATAAGGGAGCAAATTAAAGATGAAACCAATAAATGAATGAATCGATATTACCCTCACAGTAATATAAGCTGAAGCAGAAACCAAGCACCTCATGATTTTAAAACGGCAATAACGATTGCCATTAAGAATGAATACTATTAACAGAGTTTCCTGGAATTATGTAGTGGTCTTTAATACATCTAAGGAACATGGCTGTAAATCACTCTCCTTGTTGTTTACAGCCTTTGAAATCAATAATTCCAAGTATACTTAATTCAAAATACATCATTAGTATGTTTACTTAATTTCCATTGGTTTAACCCTGGGTAACAGGAGAATGTACATGTTGAAGTAGATAATCGTGGGGTATAGTAATATTTACAAGTGATAAAACAGTTGCCTAAGTAACAGAAATAATAAAGTTGTTTTGGAAGTCCAGACATTTTAGTAATATTCCAATCTCTTTGGCTTCCATTGTGCTCCTAATTTGCATGTACACTGATAATACTGTTTAATTTCCCAAGCACAACATTCATAATCATTTCCAAGCATTATCTGCCTGTGATTTTGAAACAGATAAATTCTTCCCCTGCAAAAATATTGTGCTATTTGCTCAACTTCTCTCAGGCGGTTGTTTTGTCCAGTCATTCAGGTCTCACTGAATCTGTGCTTCATGGCAATAGTGAAATTGTTCAGAATTCAAGAGAATTTAAGTCCAAAAATATTTGTGTCAAGAGAGGCACACTTACAAAATAAAAACTGAATTTTTAATTGTATCACAAAATATTTTTTAAAAAGCTTCCAGATGCGTGAACATTAGTGCTGCATTAGGGGAATGAGCTAATTTGGCATAGAGAAAATAATTTTAGGCTGGATGTGGTGGCTCACATCTGTAATCCAAGCATTTTGGAGGCCAAGGTGGGTAGATCACCTGAGGTCAGGAGTTCAGGATCAGCCTGAGCAACATGGTGAAATCCCGTCTTAAAAAAAAAAAAAGAAAGAAAACAATTTTACACAATTTTTGTTTCAAAATTTGTTAAGTTAAAACAGAACAATTTAAAAAATTTACTTGTTTTACTAATGAAGTTGCCCTAACTTCAGACACAATTTACCGCTATCTTCAAGGGTAAACTCCACACTGCCTGCTAGAGTTAAGCTAAGCCCCTCAACATTTTGGGGTCCAGCAGCTGCCACATGAGACCCTGGATTGGCCGAGGAGTAGCATTTATTTCTGTCCTAGGAAGTCACATGTACAGCTTCATGATGAAGTTAAAGGTTGCTTCTTTTTAAATGACTGCTGCTAGCATTTCACATTTGCCGTCCTGACAAACTGCATTTGTGTCTTCTGATTTACCACTCTCTGATTTCTCGTACCTTTGCACACACCAGTTTCTTGATTATATGTATGACTTCTAACTGTCTGTATGTAGGAGTTGGGCAACTCCTGAGTCCAGCCACCTTTGTTTAGCTGCCCACCTTAGTCTTCCTGGTAATGGCCTCCACTATTTAAAACCGTGTAAGGTCCTTACATGTATATTATGTGACAGGATTAATTGGAGAACTATTCATAATTATATGGACAGGAGACAGAAAAATACTGGGTAGAAGAGGGCGGTTTCCTGGCAAGGCCCTCCCTCAGCCCTGGATACCCCTGGCCCTAAATGACAACAGACATTTCTGTTTTTGCACCCAAAAAGTTTCCTTTTGGCCCACCACACCCCCTAATCTTCACCCATATGAAACCCAAATCCCAAGATCCAGAAGAGACCAGCTGACCAGTAGATCTCCAAACAAGCAATGGCGAAACGATGAGGCAGAGAAAGAGAGGAGGAGGGAGATCTGAACGCCAAGGGGAGTTTGGCCAGGAGTGTTCAGAGAAGAGTCTAGCCATAAGCAGCTCAACTCCACAGAAAGATCACAATCCCACTCCACCCCCGCTTCTGGCTCCCCATCCATCTCACTGAGAGCCACCTCCAGCACTACCTAAAACCTTGCACTCATCCTTCAAGCCTGTGTGTAATCTGATTCTTCTGAGACACTGGGCAAGAGCTCGGGATACAGAAGGCTGTCACACTGGCCCTCTGCCCTTGCGATAAGGCAGAGGATCCATTGAGCTTATTAACAAGCCGTCTGTACACAGCAAAGATGAAAGAGCTTTGTAACACTGGGGCTGCAGGCACCCACCCCTAGACACTACAATGGGGTCTTCAGAGCCCAAAGCACTCCCCCTGGTCTCTGCACCTGCCAGTCTGCATGCTCCCCATAGGGGTTTGAGCTGCGGGGTTACTAAACAGGCCAGCAACACCCTTTTCCACATTCTGCAAGGGGAATCAGGGAACTCTTCCATTTCAAGAATATCTGAGTTTTGGAAACAAACAAACAACAGCAACAAAAATAAAACAGCATTCCTTAAGATCCTCTTGTTTCCTACATGGTTTTCTTTTCTGATTCACCAATATGTCTCCAAAATCATGCCTACTTTCTCTACATATTAAATAATTATGAAACTCAGGAAATTTCTATCAACTGAAAGACACAGGAAGTGCTCTTCTGAGTCATATTTAAATATATCAGGAACAATATGAAAAGCAAATAAGTTTCCCACATTAAAACAAAATATATAAATAGATGTCTGTGCTGGAGCCGGAAGTGTAAACAACACAGCTGTGAATTTTGCAGCAGTTTATCATTTTATCTGCTCTGTGAAATCACTCCATTAGTCCTGTTTTGATGAAAATACATTTTCTTTCTGATCTGTAAAGACCATTTTATTACCTTGGTGTTTACATGGGAATATCTTTTTTATTTTATTAAAGTAAGTGCAAGGCTAACATTGGAATTAAAGCATGCATTCCAAATTATGTATATGTCTGTGAAAATGTAAATCAACCTGAAGTTAGTCAATATTTTTACTTTAATAAATTTAACTACAGATACCAATACACTATATTGCTGCTTCATGTCCTAGTCCAAAAATACAAAGAAACAAACAGAAATGCTAAAGTTGCTTCCCTATTAAAAAAAGTAGTTCTTTATAAAGCTTCATTTGTAATTTTTAAGAGGCAGTACAGTGTAGCAGAAAGAGAACTAATTTAATTCTCAGTTAATCAGGGCGCTTGGAATCATGCGTCTGGGTTGCAAGTACATGGGGACCAGAGTCAAAGTTCTTGGGCATAACTTCTTTCCATGCTCCTATCTTCGCAGAACCATTTCCTAAAATATGATGTCCTTCAGTTTCCTCTTCTGTAAAATTAGAATATTAATTTGTTTCATCTACCTTGTACAGTTATTAGAAGACTCAAAGTGTATAATGTAAAGGTAAGGAGTTTTCATATTTTAAGGCATCCATTGTTATCAGTCAACATTATTATTTTCCCTAGTTTGGGCAATAAAGATTTGATCATGAGCAAATTACTCAAACAAGCATCATTTTCCTTTTCATACAATTAAAGTAAGGAGTTGAAGATATGATTTTATCTACTTTAAAAATTCCATGCTTTCATTGTTAATTCAGTGACAAAAGCCATTGCCTCCCTTGATTGATTAGAATTTTATTTCCTGAGTCTATGAGATTTTTTAATAAAGAAAAATAATCTTTGTTAATTATCAATAATTTAAAAGACGGTAAGGTTACCTGATGTATTTCCGGCTTTGATTCAACTTCTTGGAAAGATAGTTTAAAGCTTTTTGACTTGGAAAAGAGGAATAAGAAATAGTGGCAGGGTATTCTGTTTCTTCACAAGAAACAGGGCAGCTAGAATTATGTGTTCCCACTGTACATAACTCCTTAAGTTCAATGTGGTCTGAAATGAAAACCAGGACAGGGGATTCAGAGAAAAGAAATATTTCATCATGGGTAGGATAGTTTTATAAAGTTTATCATTTCACTTTCAATGTTAAAAAAAGTGGTTACCAAGTCCTATCACTACTCTTTGGACCACCTCGCAGTGCCCATTCTTTCTGCTCCTTGCTCGTGGTAGATACTCAGGTTCTTGTTTTTCGTTTGCTTTTGATACTGAAACCCTTTGTTCTAATGAACCAGGTGTTTACTAAGACCTCCTGGTTACTCACAGACTTTGGGTGTGTTTCCTGGACTCTTAACTTTGACATCTCTAGGAGATAACTTTTGCGTCCATCTGCTAGTTTTTTAGCACTGCTGGTAATGACCACCACTCTTCCCCTACACTCACATGCACTCACACACTCCCATACACACATAGGCTCACATAGACATACATACACACTCACATATATATACTCTCATATACATAATTCTCTCACACACAAACACACACACTCTTCTGACCCCATTATCCCACAACAGTCCCACCTGAACTGCATTTGTGGTATTTTTCCCCAACCTCTCTCTCCAGCCTCCAACAGGGATAAAAAATCAGAAGAAATCTGGCAACATCATTTCAAATCTATTGGTTAGTAATGTGGCTTTTGCCTGTGATCTATTAAAAAAATAAATAAATAAGATTCCTTCTATCTATAGCCATACCTTGACATATTTTAGAACCATTGAAAGGAAACTTTTAAATCTATTCCTGCTATCCTGGAGATATTTCCACAATGGGTTATAAGAGCAAGTTTCATAGAATGGTATATACTGGAATTCCATCCTAATAAAACAACCAAATGACTTAAAGTGGAGGTATATATGTGGAGAAGGTTATGGTAGGATATACAAGAGTGTTAGCATTGGTTACACGTTAAGGTAAGAGTTATGAAAGCAAAGAAAGGGGGTGCTCTTTAATAAGAACTTGTCCCCAATAAATATAGCATGCACAATTATAATTCCATTAATGAAAAAATTTTATATGCCATGTACATGCAATGAAATGAATGAATGAAGGATTATTCCCAAACAATCAGAGAATTCTCAGTAATAAAACTTCTACTTACTTTTACATGATTTCTTTTCTATTCTATAGTAGTTGAACTATTCACAAGAAACACATTTTATTTGTGTAACAATAAAAAACAACTAGGATATTTTGATTATAAAAAAGATCAAAACTTAAAAGTTCAGATGTGTCTTAGTATCAGAGAGTTTTTGTTTGTTTGTGTGCAATGCCTGTGTTTGTTAGCTACTATTTAAAAACACTCTTAAAAAGATCTTCTCTTATATTCTATATTCTGTTTAATTTCCGGGCTATCCATAGTTTAACTTAATGTCCTGTATTACTTTGAGCAACTTTAACGTAAATCCTGAAAATAAAAATAAATTAAGAACTTACCAAGTGCAGGAGAAACACAGCTGTAGTACTTCTGTAGGTCACATTCTATTCCATTTCCTTAAAAACAATATAAAGACTTCATAAAATGGATGATCTGATGACAAAAATACCTTTCTTATCTACATCTATCCATCCATTCGTCCACCCACCCGTTCATCTATATGAACAGTTATTCCTTCATAAGCAAAACTATGGAACCAAGTTAGTACCCAATGACAATATCTGTTGGGAGGAAGAATAATGCTTTTTTTTTTTCTATACTTCTTTCTGTCTCTATCATTCTAAAATCTTTAAGTGGGAATAATAATTTCAAAATTTAAGTAAATTTCAAATTTAAAATTACTTTCATAGTTCTCATTTCATTTGATGCTGTTCACAGTCCTGCGATATAAGAATCTTCATTTTATAGGTAAAGAAACTAAGGCTCAGAAAGTGGCTTGCTCAAGACCACACAGTTAGGGGACCCTGGCATATTCTGTATATCTTCCATCCTGCTCCCTCTATCCATTTACACACACACACACACACACACACACACACACACACACTCTCTCTCTCTCTCTCTTGCTCTCTCTCTCAATGGACGGCCATTCCAGAGGTAGGATGGGGGCAGGTAAGTACCAATATTTAAGCACCCATCATAGATTGTGAGATAAGTAGTAAAATCACTATGTATCAGAGCTGGGTTTACTCCTAGGGCTGATTCTATAGCCTTAATCTTTTAACCTTAATACAGTATTTGTCTATTGCTATAATCCATGTGGCTCAGCAGTTAGCCACAATGTTTAGTCAGTAATCCAGAAAATAACCAAAATAACCAAAGAAAATAACCAAACCAAAGGAAAATAACCAAAATAATGTTTGTCTAACTATAAGGAAGTGCTCTTTATAAATAAACTGAAATAAATAACCAAAATAACCAAAGAAAATAACGAAACCAAAGGAAAATAACCAAAGTAAGGTTTGTCTAACTCTAAGGAAGTGCTCTTTATAAATAAACTGAAATAATTTAAAAAAAAATCTGCTTTCAACACTGAGTTAGGAAAAAGCCTCATTTTTCTGGATTATTTCCTGCTCTGGCAATAATATTTCTTCCTTTATAAAGAACAATTCAGAAAACAAAACAAAAACAAAAATGGTAGTAGATGGAACACAGAAAAAAAAAGAAAACCAAACAAAAGAACAATAACATTTTGGAAATAACCGATATCTGAAAAGCTGTTTTAGAGATTGCTTCCTCCGTTAGTGGAATTACCTTAGCGAATTCATTTACTGCTTAAAAGCTTCCATTTCTTCATATATCAGTACACTTAAAAGGATATGTGAGAATCTAACGAAATAAGATCATATTCCAGAATACATTTGGTATATCCTAAAGTTTATGCAGATATCATTCTTTGTGTTTTATATAGCACCTTGCCTAGTTTCTGGTCCACTTTAGCCAATAGGTTTTTGTTTAATAATAATAAAATTTTAAATTATAAACATTATTCTGCATGAAACAATTCAGACTTCTTTCCAGTAACTTTGCCAGTAAAATTAGGAATGAGAAATTAGAGCCAGAGCCATCAGTTTTATACAGAGCAACAGTTTTTGGAGGGGCTAAGACCATTACTCTCGATATTAGAAAGAAGGAAGTGATGATTCTGGAAATCTGAAAAAATAATAAAACCACTTTTGCAAAGATTTATAATTGAGACAATTATTACAGTGAACGAGATTTGACCGAACTGACTCTATCTTGTTTCTAACCTCCACACTGTCCTTGTTCACTCCTGGGCGTAAGCTAAAGTAACTTTGGGAGGAACTTAGTTTATAGTTTAGTTCTGAAACAAAGACAATAACAGCCCTTTCTCAAAACAAACCCCCTTCCTGCCTGGGGAGTAGACTGCTTTTGTAGGGCTAACAGATTAGCCACAATATTAAAAATTATCATGGAAGGAGTCATGCAGCCGGAGGCTGCAAGATTCTAAACCTCCCCAAATTGCTCCTGGTGATAACATCACTATTGTAAAAGCTAAGATTAGTGCTTGGGATATTTTGCACACCCTGTACTCCAGAGATCAGCTGACACCACCCAGATCAAAAAACTGACCCATCTGATTTTCTGACCCCCACCCAGGAACTGACTCAGCAAAAAAGTACAGCTTCAATTCCATATGATCTTATCTCTCATCTGACCAATCAGAACCCCTGATTCACTGGTTCCCTGGCCCCCGACCCACCAAATTATCCTTAATAACTCTGATCCTAATACTCAGGGAGACTGATTTGAGTCATAATAAAACTCCAGTCTCTGTCACAGCCAGCTCTGCATGAATTACTTTTTCTCTATTGCAATTCTTCTGTCTTGATAAATCAGCTCTGCTAGGCAGCCAGCAAGGTGAACCCATTGGGCAGTTACAATAGTTTGGCAGGTAGATTGTGTAACAACCACGTCTCTTTTTAGATATGCTGTGGGAGGGGGTTGTAAGAGACCTGAATAAAAATATATGACATTTATACAGACTATATTCTGTGCCAGGCATTATTTGAATCACTTACATACTCCTTTCATTCTTACAACAACCCCATAAGATGGGATTATTATCCTCTCCTCCATTTGAAAGCAAGAGAGAGAGGTCAGGTCACTTGTTCAAGATCACCAGGGGGAGAAATTGTGGAGCTGGCTTGAGCAGCATGGGGTTATCACCAGGAGCAATTTGGGGAGGTTTAGAATCTTGCAGCCTCCAGCTGCATGACTCCTTCCATGATAATTTTTAATCTTGTGGCTAATCTGTTAGCCCTACAAAGGCAGTCTACTCCCCAGGCAGGAACGGGGTTTGTTTTGAGAAAGGCCTGTTATTGTCTTTGTTTCAGAACTAAACTATAAACCAGCTCTTATTCACGCTGCTCCATTGTTTCCTTGAATGCTTGCTTCTCACTCATTGTTCTGGAAAAATTGCAAATTGTATGCAAAGGAGGCCTGAAGTTCCTTTTACCTTCACAAAAAAAACAACTTTCCAACGGCGAAAACTTCAGGCTGGGTAAGACACATCCATGGCCGAATTTTTCTTTCAAAATTGCGAAAACCCTGATGTGCTGTTTTAGATACTTGAGACTATCAAATTTTAGCCTTTGAGAATAAGTATCGGGGCTCCACCCTGATAACACATTTTTCTTTTCCAGAAATCTCTGCTATGATTTTATAATGTAAAATTTGTCAGCTGAAGTTGTACTTGGCAAATGAATGATCTTCCTGTGTAGAATTTCATAAGAATGGAAACCAATTTAGTGATATGTTGATTTTCTATGTTTCAAATTAGGTAAGTAGAAACATAAAATTCAAAAAAAAATTTAGGACTAAACTTCTGGTGACTTTGTCATTAGCTGTAATTTTAGGCTATAAAGAGAAGGAACAGGCTTAAGAATATATTAATTTTTTCTGTGAATGGGTCAGTTGCATTTGTAGTTACATTTAATAATACTTAATATTCCATTTGTATTTCAATACTCGATTTCTCCCTGACCTTTCATAACCCTCTAAGAAACACTTAACTACCTAGTTAAGTAAGGGGGCAGTTAGTCTTTATTTACCAGGAAGGAGAAAAGGCAAACATCCGCACTGTTTTTTTATGTGCTGGGCTTTGCATTCCTTCAAGCAACCGGAAGTGCTGTAGCTGCTGAAATTCTGCAGCTTGATGTTAGGATTGCATTCTCCCCAAGGGTATTCTTGATGAACTGTCTTAAGATAAAGATAAATACTTGGTTCAGGAGATTCGTTTACATCAGTTCACTCATTTTCCATTAAGAAGTTGATATACATATTTATTTCACCCTCAGAACTCTTTGATTTTGTCTATTTTGCCTACTCTATTTGAGGAAGAAAATAAAATTAAAGACAGACTTGAAATGGAATAAGTAGCAGTTAACATTAGGGCTGGGTCATTAGTAAAGATCACAGTAAGCAAAAATAAGTAACCCCTCCCAGCTTAGCCCAACTAACTGCAGCTGAAAACTTATCTCACAGCCCGCATTCCAGGCTAGTCATAAAACCTGTATTTAGAGAAAGTAGAGGCAAAGCAGACCTGGTCTCTCTACACAGACAGACCCTCTCTCTACATAGATAAGAGCACTAGAGCATATCTTTAGGTCTGCAGCCCACACATACTTCTGCAATTCCTGTTCTTCTGATCTCCTTGGGTGTTCTCCTCAACCTTTTGACCCTCTACCGTGTGAGATTAAGGGAGCCTCCTGACTAAGCATCACCCGAACATCCCATAGAAGGACCCTGCTAGACCAGCCTGGGAGGAAACTGTGTAATTGTGCCTCATGAGGGTGGAGGAGGGAAGCAATAAACCAAAATGGGAAATGAGTCAAAACTTCCACCTACTCCTTTGGAGTGTATGCTGAACAATTTCAGAAAAAGCTTTTCTGGGGAATATGGTGTAAAGTTGTTTCTTCAGAAGTTAAGGACTCTGTGAGCTGGAGTGGCCAGCCTTTGGAGTTGGTTGGCCACCAGAGGACACTTTCAACTGTAAAACGACTTTGAAATAGTAACAGGGGTGTCAGGCCAGTCCAGGCATCCAGATCAATTTCTGTACATTGACTCTTGGTTAAGTGTTATCCAGACACGACTCAAGTGGCCTGCCCCATGCATGGCTGACTATTGTAAGACACTGGTCGCCCATGGAGGTCCAAAGGAAGTCAGAAAACCTGTAACACATGAGACCTCAAAGAAACAAAATTCCCAGGGAGTCAAGACAACCCCATTTTCCAAGCTCCCACAGAGAAGAGACTTCTCCTCCCTGTGCCCCCATATCTCCATCCCTAGACAGGAAGAGGGGCAAATGTCTTTTGAGGAAACAAGTTCAGAAAGTAGCGGGGCTCAAGCATCGCCCCAGAGGGAGGAACTCTTGCTGTCCAAGTTCAAGGGGATAGGCTGGACAAAGAAACAGGGCATCTTCCATCTGGCCACACCTGTGCCCTGCAGATGCCAGAAAACTTGGGCTCAAGTTTATCTTGATGAACAGGGCCAGGTGAGAGGAGGGGAGCCAGTCTACTCCTACTTGACCTTCTCCACCACTGATCTCTTAAATTGGAAACATCGCAACCCTTTGTACACAGAAAAGCCTTGGGTAGTAATTGATACAATAGGGTCAGTTTGTTTATAACTCTATTCAGTACAGAAGAAAGACATAGAGTGGTGCGAGCAGCTCTCCAGTGGTTGGAAAACAATGTGCCTGAAGGCACAAATGACCCACAGTACTATGTGGAAGCCCACTTCCCTGACGCTGACACAAATTGGGACCCTGATAACCCAATCAATATGAACATTTACAAAGATATAGGGAAGAACTCATAAATGGAATAGTCAGGAAGGAGATCGGCAATGAATATAGGGAAAATTTCGGAAGTCCTGCAAAAGATTGAGGAGAATCCTAGCCAGTTTTATGAAAGACTGTGAGGCTTACAGGCTTTATATTCCTTTTGACCCTGAGGCTGCTGATAATCAAAGACTGGTAAATGCTGCCTTTGTTAGTCAGTCACAGAACAACATCAGACAGAAGCTTCAGAAATTAGAAGGGGTTGATGGCAAGAATGCCACTGAGCTGATATCAATAACTACTCAAGTGTTCATAAACCGTAATCAGGAAAAGGAAAAAAGGCAAAACGAAAACGAAAAGAAAAGGCTGAGGTAGTGGCTGCAGCACAGGCTAAAATACTAGTTGCTGCCCTAGCTAGCAGAGAAGGTAACTTTGGAAGAGGGCGAGGACACAGCTGTGGCCAAGACCAAGGGAGAGACTGAGTGAAGCAGGAGGCCAATTCAAACTAGGAAGAAACCAATGTGCAATTTGCAAGAAAGAAGGTCATTGGAAAAGAGACTGCCGTAATAAGGACAAAATCAATAGCCAAGCACAAGTGGGTAAAAGAGGGAGCGCAGTCCGTACATGTGCCGATGACTAATAGGCAAATGACGGACAGCCTCTGTGTCTTAGGAACTGATAGCCCTTGTGTTTTAAAGTCAGATAGCAACTTAAAAGGTCTAGCCGGGATGGAAACTAATACAGACTGAAACAGACTGGGCTCCATTTCTTTGGGTCCCCAGGAGCCCATGGTCAAAATGATTGTAGGGGGCCAATAAGTAAATTTTATGGTAGACACAGGTGCTGAACATTCAGTAGTAACTCAGCCAATTGGGGCACTGACTGAAAACTAGGCTACAATTATTGGAGCCACTGGAATATCAGAAAGAAGACCCTTTTGTAGTTCCAAAAGATGTGCAGTTGCTCATCGGGAAATTCAACATGAATTCTTATACTAACCTGACTGCCCAGTGTCTCTCTTAGGTAAGGACCTATGAATTCTTATACTAACCTGACTGCCCAGTGTCTCTCTTAGGTAAGGACCTATGAATTCTTATACTAACCTGACTGCCCAGTGTCTCTCTTAGGTAAGGACCTACTCTCAAAATTATAGGCACAAATCTTTACTCCCCAAGGAAATGTGATTTTAAGGCTAGGTTAACCCAAAGCTGTGCTACTGACTCTCACTCACCCAAAGGCTGAGCAATAGAGGCTATTCATGCCATCTAGACAGCTTCCCTTCCTGACTGGAGGGCACACAGCAAGTGAAGTAGATAGGCTGGTTATTAAATCACCCGGAGTCTGGGCGGAAGACAACCCTCCTGGGCCGGCAATTAACCAGGCACCAGTCTTTGTGGAGCTACTCCCAAGAGCTTCCCCAGTATAAGTTCACCAATACCCAATTTTTACAGATGCCATAATAGGCATCTGGGACATAGAGAGCGGCTTTATAAGCACGGAATTCTTGTAAGATGTAAGTCACCTTGGAACTCACCTCTTCTACCAGCATGGAAGCCGTCTGGTGAATACAGGCCTGTACAGGACCTCCGTGCTGTTAACAAAGCTGTGGTCACAATCCACCCAGTAATACCTAACCCGTCCACCTTGTTTGGGCAGATTCCTGCCAGGGCTACCTAGTTTACATGCTTAGATCTAAAGGATGCCTTCTTTTGTCTTAGACTAGCTCTTGCGAGTCAACCCATTTTTGTCTTCCACTGGGGAGAAAGCCTGTATACGTGGACTTGACTTCCTCAAGGATTCAAAAATTCCTGTACCATTTTTGAGAAAGCCCTAGCCTCAGACCTCAGTGCTTTTGTTCCACCTAACTATGAGTGTGTTCTTTAGTACGTAGATGACCTTTTATTTGCAGCCCCTACGAAACAGAGCTGCCTAAGAGGCACAGAAAATCTCCTTTACCTTTTGTGGGAGGCCGGATATAAAGTTTCAAAGGAAAAGGCTGGCATTTGTTTACAAAGGCTTAGGTATTTAGGTTTTATAATATGCCAGGGGAAAAGAGAACTTGGCCGTGAACGAAAACAAGCAGGGTTTATCGGTATATGCTAGTGTTCGTTTTTACCTACTCTGGGTGGGTAGAAGCTTTCCCCACTCACACTAAAAAGGCCAGGGAGGTAACTAGAGCATTATTATTATTTTTTTGAGATGGAGTCTCACCCTGTAGCCCAGGCTGGAGTGCATTGGCATGATCTCGGCTCACTGCAACCTCCACCTGGCAGGTCCCAGTTCAGGCAATTCTCCTACCTCAGCCTCCCAAGAAGCTGGGATTACAGGCACAAGCCATCATGCCCAACTAATTTTTGTATTTTTTTGGTAGAGACAGGGTTTCACCATGTTGGCCAGTCTGGTCTTGAACTCCTGACCTCATGATCCATCTGCCTCGGCCTCCCAAAACTCTGGGATTATAGGCATGAGCCACTGTGCCCCACCACTAGAGCATTATTAAAAGACATTATTCCTAGATTTGGGCTGCCCATGACTCTTGGGTCTGACAGTGGGCCAGCATTTATAGCCAAAATTGTCCAGAGTCTTTCTTGATTACTAAAAATTTATTGGAAATTACACACTGCCTACTGACGCAGAGCTCAGGGAAGGTAAAGCAGATGAATAGGACATTAAAATAGCTGGTAAAGGAATTCTGCCAAGAGACTCATTTACACTGGGATCAGGTTTTGCCCATGTTTCTACTCTGAGTCAGGTGCACCCCAACAGACAAGCTGGCTTTTCACTTTATGAAATTCTGTTCAAGAGACCACCTCCCCTTATTACCCAAATAAAGGGTGACCTCAAAGAGATAGGGGAATTAACATAAAAAAAACAAATACAAGCATTAGGTGTGGCCATGAACCAGGTGCAGAGCTGGGTGCAAGAAAGAATACCTCATTTAAACCAGAAGGCTGTTTGGGTTAAGAAATGGAACCCAACCACACTCGGACCTACGTAAGACGGGCCCTTTATTGTAATCCCGTCTACCCTTACTGTTGTTAAGGTTGCTGAAGTTGCGCCCTGGATCGATCACAGCTGATTAAAGCCAGCGACAGCCCAAGACAAGTGGACTAGCAGACCAGATCCAGAGCACCCCACCAGGCTGACTTTGAGGCACAATGTCAACAAAAACCAGGACCAAGACCAACCCAGTTCCGTTTCAAATGTGACGAATCTGAGGACTCATCAAGCCCTGCTCTAGTCACACAACTGGAAGCTGACTAGTCAACACATGGCCGAAGCTTGAGGAGTCTTTATTGGATAAGTAAATGTGGACTGAAATCTTAACACTTGATACTATGCTAGCAATATTTGCTGTTCTGCTGTCATGCTGTCATTGCTGCTGTTCCTTGAAGGACATTCCTTGCCCATGCCTAGTGTAAAAATGTTGCTTTCTGTTTTGCTCATGTTAGCCTTTATGGCAAACTTAGTAAGGGGGGATGTTTTGAATGAATGCCCTGTGTGCACCCATACTACATGGATAGGGAGCACACACGTTAAAACTGTTATATAGCAAACCCATTATGAGTGTACAGGGACCCACCCTAGAAACCTGCATATAGAGTAAAACTACGTATTCAATTTGTGACCCTGGTGAGGAACAGCCTTATGCATGCTATGATCCTAAACTTCTATCCAGAACTTGGTTTGAGCTCCATGGAGGATCAAAAAATGGATTCCCCTATGACATACCTTGGGTATCCCCTTCTCACCAAGGAAGCATATCCTCATTAGATGCTTGTCAAATAACGCAAACACTTCTTAAAAATCAGAAGATAGTTGTAGCCCAATCTTGTTAACCCCAAATTTTAGAAAAATCATAGGTGCATTTTGGATTAGGAATGCCATACCCTGGTATGATTATGACAACTGTGAAGTTGGAGATGAAGTGAAAATCTACAATCACGTAAATTTCACTATTTTAGACCCAAACTCGCGTATTTGGACCACAGTCATTGAGGAACCAGTTGGGTATAGCAATTTTTCTAAGGTAGATAAGAAAATGCTGAAAAAAAGAAGGTTAAACCTTATATATCTTAATGAATGGGCACAAGAAGGTATTGTTTTTCTATATTGTCAAAAAGACCTGAGCTCATCAATCCCAACGGCAATTTTGAGTTTTTAAGTCACTTAATGAACATTTTAAACAAGCAATTCCTGAGCCACCCTCTGCTACTAAAAACCTATTAGTTAGCTGAAAATATAGCAGGAAATCTGGGGTTTACCTCATATTACCTATGGGGAGAAACTAACATGGGGAACCAGTGGTCTTGGGAGGCAAAGGAATTGCTACCCCAAGATAATTACAGCTTAACCCTTCCTGCCTCAAACTCTACAGAGCTGTCATCTACCAAGTCCAGTACCTGGCTTCTAAAGGCTTCCATCATGGGAAGGTACTGTGTTGCCCATTGGGGAGCCATCTACACTAGCCCAGTAGGGGGACTAGCATGTCTAGGATAGCAGTATTACAATGAAACTATAGGGAAGACCCTATGGCAGAGAGAAAACAAACAGGGTAAGCGCAGTTCCAAACCACCAAGATTTAACCCATTTTCCAGGTTTCCATCTTTGAACCATTCCTGCTACCAACTAGAGGCACCAAATGCTTGGCAGGCACTCGTGGGCCTTTATTGGATTTGTGGTCAACGGCCTTATCAGCAGCTGCCAGAAAAATGGACAGGAGCTTGTGTGTTGCGAATTATTAGGCCGTCATTTTTCTTGCTCCCCCTAAAACACAAAGAAGTTTTAGGATACCCCATTTATGATGAATTCAAAAATAGAAGTAAGTGGGCAGTAAGCTCAAAAATGGATATACAAATCGGGAACTGGAAAGACACAGACTGGCCCCCAGAAAGAATAATTGATTATTATGGTCCAGCTACTTGGGCACAGGATGGAATGTGGGGATATCACACTCCCGTCTATATGATAAACCACATGATTAGGTTACAGGCAGTCATAACCAATGAATTATCCAGAGTTTTAGACTTTAGACTTGCTAGTCGTACAGAGATGAGAAATGCAATACACTGGAATAGGCTAGCACTAGACTATCTCCTGGCCTCAGAAGGAGGAGTTTGTCAAAGTTTAACCTCACTAACTGCTATTTAGAAATTGATAGCGAGGACAGGAAATCACCGCTAGGATACAAAGACTAGACCATATCTTAGTCCAAACCTGGAAAGGATGGTCTCTGGACTCTCTTTTTGGTGAATGATTTTCATCTTTCAGTGGCTTTAAAAACCCTTATAGGAAGTGTGGCTCTCATATTGAATGGATGCTTCATACTTCCTTGTCTCTTACTCTTTTATTTAGAAGTATATGATCAGCCATTGAGGCAGTAGTGCCTAGGCACACTACCACCCAAATAATGGCTTTAACTAAATATCAGCCCTTGTCCTCAGAATAAGAGAACTGACATGGTGAAGAGACAGGTGACTATAGTACCAATGTAAAACTCCTCTAAGGGTATTTTCCTTCCTTATACTCTGCCTTCTTTTGTTCTGTTTCTGAATCATATGAGGTCCAGATGCACAGGTAAAGAGCTTTAGGCCAAATCATTAAGTTTAACCATTAAGTGTTGTAACCTAATGAAGCAGCTTGTTAAAGTATAACCCAGCTCCAGTCTTGTTTTCCACACTAAGCAAAAGCCTTCAACAATAATACTATGCGCCCTTAAGGCCCCAGATGGATGGCTGGTTAGTCAATGCCAGGTAAGACCCCCCAGAAAGGGGGGTGACCTAAGACAGACACAACCGCAGAGAGACCAACAGGAGACAAAGGAGTTTGCCTATTCCCGCGGTCAGGATGTCCAAAAACAGATGACAGCAGGAGAAGGTACACTGGCAAGCTAGCTTTGCACTGGAGCAAATGAACAGTAACACCTCAATGACAGGCTGACCACTTCATCCTGTCATCGTGTGAATTGTAAAGAAAGTCTCAAAAAAAAAAAAGAACAGAAAAAGAGAAAAGCTTTCTAGTAATAAAATCCTTTTGAAGAAAGCTTTGCAGGGGAAATGAGGAGGAAAATAAAATTAAAGACAGACTTGCAATTGAATAAGTAATAGTTAACATTAGGATTAGATCATTAGGAAAAATCATAGTAAGCAAAAATAAGTAACCCCTTCCAGCTTAGCCCAACTAAGAGACCCTCTCTCTGCATAGATAAGAGCACCAGAGCATATCTTTAGGGCTGCAGCCGGCACATACTTCTGCAATTCTGTTGTTCGGATCTCCTTGGGTGTTCTCCTCAACCTTTTGACCCCCTACCTTCGCTGCAAGGCTATAGAGTTAAATAACCCCCAAAGCCCAAGGTAGTAAAACCTGATTAACTGTCTATGTCAGAAACATGTTTCCTGCCTTGTTTTCTCATGCCTCAAATTGCATAAAGTAATGCATTCTCTTTGTTCAAGGCTGGCGGCCATTACAGGCAGTGAGGCCACCATCAGCTGGAGCTCCAATAAAGATCATGCCTGTAATCCAAGCACTTTGGAGGCCAAGGCGGGCGGATCACCTGAAGTTGGGAGTTCAAGACCAGCCTGACCAACATGGTGAAACCCTGTCTTTATATATAAAAGAAAAAAAAAAAAGAAATGTTCTCGTGTCTCTTGGTCTCTCTGCATTTCTCAGCTTGAATTCCTGCAACATATTGACCTGAAATTCCCTGAAGCTAAGTATAATAGTGGTCCTTAAATATATATTCTAAATGTGAATTAATAAAGTCAGACACACTGAGTATGCTAAAAATCAACTAATATAAGGAAAAGAATGATCATTTATGTAAATGTTATATTAGGGTAGTAATCAGCTCACCTACAAAACAGCAACCAAACTCACATTTTTAAAACATCCTTGAATGAGCAACTGTTATGTGCCGGGTGACATATAGTATTGCAGAACTTTCTCCTTAGTTCAGCTAAAACAGGGTCCTTGTCACACGACCAGAAAAGATGAGGCTCGTGGACACACAGAAGGGTGAGTAACATGGAATTTATTGGGTGAAATGGAAAAAGGAAAAATAACTCTCAGCAAAGTAAGAGAGAGTCCTGCTGGTAGGTTTCCCACCTCACCGATGAAATCTCAGGTCACCACACAGGAACAGGAGAAGGCAGGCTTCTCCCCACTGCAAACGGTGCAAACTTCCCAAGCCTCCACCCCTTCCTCCCAGTGTGCAGGTGGGCATTATTTAGAAAAAATCAGTCGGGAAAGGGCAGGCTTCATCTGGGACAAACAGTCCAGTCTGTCAGGCTTCAAGCTGTTTCAGGCTTGAAGGCGGGATTTCACCGGGGACCTTTGGCTGTCTCCTGTGTCTATCAATGGTAAGTGCTTTCTTTATGGTACTTCACTTAAACTTCATTACTATGAAAGGAAAACATTACCCCTGCCCCGTTTGTGCAGTGAGGAGATATAAATTCAGGAAGCTAATCAAAGAAGTTACTGAGAAAATAAGTGGCCGGCAAACAGAAACGGGCCAGACTCACCTGACTCCAAGTTTCCTGCTTTTCCCACTAATTTTCTCCTTCCCAGATAGTCTCATTGAAGAATCACAGCTCAGCAACTTAGGTGCCTCTTTATACTTACAGACCCTTTCCACTTCTGCTAAAACGTACAGTTACTTTGATTTGATAGGCTTCCCAGCTTTCACTTACATAGTTTGTTTCTACTGAACATGTACCTTCAGATAAAGGAATATAATCTGAAATACAATTTTGGAATTTCAGTGGTGTTCTACAGGCATGGGAGAGTGGAATTTCTAGTGAAAAGTATTATTTATATGTTTCATGCATTCACCACCCCACCTAATTCCTTCAGGCTCAATTTCTCTGGAGTATTTACCTTCACTTGGCGGATAGTTACCCTTGTGTGCATTCCCACAGGTGACAACAAGCCTAATCCATCAAATTGTGGCACCTTCCTTGGTGAGTGGATAACAAAGATGATCCCAGCATCAACGAAACCAAGAGCTGGGCTATCAGTGAATGCCTCCTGAAACAAAAATACATTTTTGTTCAAATTGCAAATTGACCATATCAGTTCTATACAAGTTTAGGATTTCATTTTATCATCTTATGATAGCATTAGACTAATCCTAAATATTTTATGTCATATTTCAATCTCTTTTTGTGTAAAGTATATGAGAATTAAATATCTAAGACATACTTCACTAGTTGAATCTGCTAAAGGAAAATATTTTGGGTCCCTTCAAGCTGGGAACTGCTCAGGGCAGTCCTGAAATAATTGAGACCTGTCTCATCATTTTTCTCAATTGACATCTGGTCACTACGAAGGGATCCTGAGTAAAGGGGACCTGACCTGCAGCAGCTAACCTATGGGTGCTTCGTACCAGCTTGGGCACCTTATAGCCCAAACCAATTGGATGATTGCTGAAGTCCAGGACCTCTTTCCTCCAGGGATCCCTGATCTTCCAGCGTTTTTCAGCTGGGGGTCTGAGGTTCATTCACTGTTAAAAAAAACTCTTTTTTTTGTGAGAGTTTCCACTTGCTTCCATCAAGGAAGACAAGCCTGCCTGCTTCTGCATCGGCAGAGAGCGGTTTTCAGCTTTGGCCCCATCACTAGGTAAGAAAACTGTTTTGGGATTCTGTCTTGCGAATTCTTTTCAAACAACTAAAGTTAGCATTAACAACCAGCTGGTGTTAATTACTGCTTACACTTAGCGCACTCAGAAATCATAAAATTTGTGTGATCGTTGTTAATTCTGCTTAACAGTTTCATTGTTTGTTTCTATCTTGTTGGGTTTGTGTGTGTGTTTTGGCTCTTTCCCTCATTGGATGTGACCAACTCAGAACACTCTAGCGCAAGAGTATGGAATTTTCCACTCCAAAGAAATAGAGCACCTTGCTCCCTTAAGCCTTCTGGAGCATTTTCAGGCAACTGAGAATCATATGAGGGTGTTTGGAAGGAACGCTCCCTAAGACATGAAGTGGCTGTAAATAAGTATCCACCTCAGAGGAACATACTGATGGGCTAATATCAGTTGGTAGGTGCATATTAGGAGCTGACTCCTCCTGCACTTGAGCCCCTGACACACTGTGCCAGGTAGCTGCAACACAGGTGAACTAGACTCGTTCAGGGATAACAGCTTTGAAACGGTAGGTCTGCTAGCAGCACATTTCGGGTCTGACAGACGTCCCGACTTGGTCAAATCCAAATGGGAACTGGAAATGTTGGAGAACAAGGCCTCTGAAGTGGGAAGAAAACAGCCATCAAACGGAAAAAAGAAAAGAAAAGAAAAGAAAGATATTTGATTTTGACTACAAAGGGATTTTATTTACATAACAAAGCCAACTTTTTGCCAGCCAGATCAAAAGTGAAAGAGCAACGACTGTACTTCTGAAATAGCAGCATTTTGTCCTAGCTGAACTATGGTAAGGAGATCTAAAAATACATTTTTTTAAAGGAGCTCAATGGTTCAAAGTTGACTTAATTAAAAGGCTAACATCCAAGATGTGTCTTGTGTGTGCATACATGTGTGCATGTTTATATTTAAAAGACCTTCAGGTTTTGGGGATTTTTGTTTGTTTTCTCTCCTAAGATTTTGTTGTGGTTTTTTTTTGAGCAAAAAAAAATTTTTTTTCTTCAGTTGACTGAATTCTGTTTTCCCCTGATTTTTTGATTCAAATAGTTATTGCAACAGAGACTACTCTTGGGTTTTTAAGGAATAGTGTAGTTTAGACACTCAGAAATATCTTGGTTAAAAAAAAAATTTTAAGTGCACTGTAAAAGCATCACGTGATCTAACTTCAAAATAATTCTACTTTTTTTTGGAGACCCAGGATTCAATGTGAGCTCTGCCCAGAGCTTAGAGATCCAGTTAAAATGTAAATAGTTTCTATCTAAATAGAATCGGTCTCCTTATACAATACTATGATATATTTCTATAATTTTAGGTTAGATTTGGCTTAAAGTTAAATAAAAGCATCTCTCTCTAGCACCACCATACTTTTTCTCTCTGTACCTTATGATATAAATTTTGCTGTTTTATTTTCACCTGAGTTGTTTCCTTTAATACGCAAATTTAAGACTATTTAGCTAACTACTAGTACCTAGGGTTGTAAAACAGGTTATTGAGAATCTAAAAGTCTAAGACAGGAAACAAAAATAACAAAAGGATCTTTCTTCGTGAATCTATAAAATGTACTTCCATCTGCATACCTAATATGTCTATGTATTTATATGTTGTGTACACAATGTTTCACTACTGAAAATACATAAAAAGGCTCTAATTAATTGGCTTAAAGAAAAATAAAAGCGTTTAAATCAAATCTTTTATCAGGAAAAATGAAAAACTAGTCAAATGCTTTTTCAAGTTTATTTAACTTAAGTAAAATCTTTAATAAAAAAAAAGCTAGCTTGAAATTACTGGTAAAGTAATATCGGAAATGTCTTAAGAATTGCCAACATACATTTTTTTTATATTTATTAATCAGGCAATCTCAAACTTATCCCTGCCAAATGCTATAATGTTTCAAAATTGACATAGGGGTTACAAAACTATAAACCCAGACTCAAACAGAATGATCACTGCTTGTATAATTTTTAACAAATAAGACATTGATATTGGTTTAATAAAAATAGCTGCATCTTAAATTTTGTAAGATTACCATAACTTCTAATCCTGTGGCTTTAGGCAGTCTAGTCTACAGGGAGTAAGGAGGTTTGTTTGGGAAGAGACTGTTACTGTCATGGTTTCAAAGCCAAACTATAAATTAGCTCCTCCCAAAGTCCACGAATGGACAAGGACAGCTTGGAGGTTAGAAACAAGATGGAGTCAGTTAGGTGATATCTTTTTCACTGCCTCACATATACTTTTGCAATGGCAGTTTCACAATTTTAAATCATGACTATCACAGTTTTCATCAATAACCAGATGAACAATTAAAATTAAATAATTAGGTAAGGGATAAATACTTGTAGACAAACTTGTCATAATTTAGAATATAACATTATATTTAATAGTAGATATTTCAGTGTTTGGATATTTTTTCAATAAATATATATTATAGAAAAACGTTCTTGCTAAAAAAGTGTGTCCTTTCTTTAAAAAGGTAAATAAATTTTGTCTAATTCAAAGCTTATTTAAAGGTTATGTATAAAACAAGGTAAAGAGAACAGGACAATAAAAAAAGATGTAAAGAAAGTTACAAGAATAAAGAGGGTTTTTTTGTGGTAAAGCAGCTTAAAGAGAAATAATTTTATATGAGAAAGAATCTTGTATGGTAGATTTATTCCTAAAATAAAATGACTGGTTATTTATGAAACAGAATATGTGGCCAGGAGCAGTGGCTCACACGTATAATCCCAGCATTGTGGGCGGCAAACACAGACAGATCACCTGAGGTCAGGAGTTTGAGACCAGCCTGACCAACATGGCAACATTCCATCTCTACTAAAAATACAAAAAATTAGATGGGTGTGGTGATGAGCACCTTTAATCCCAACTACTTGGGAGGCTGAACTGGGAGAATGGTTCAAACCCAGGAGGCAGAGGTTGCAGTGAACTGAGATCACACCATTGTGCTCCAGCCTGGGTGAGAGAGTGAGTCTCTGCCTCAAAAAAAAAAAAGAAAGAAAGAAAGAGAATATGTTCAGGACAAACCAGAGTCCAAAGCATGTCATGAATAATTGGTGTAAGTCACAGTAAGAATTTATTTAAAAAACACTTTAGGCTGGGCATGGTGGCTCACGCCTGTAATCCAAGTACTTTGGAGGCCAAGGCGGGTAGATCACCTGAGGTCGGGAGTTTATGACCAGCCTGACCAACATGGTGAAACCCTATCTTTATAAATAATAATAATAAACTTTAATATGATCAAGTTGTCATATTATTATTAAGTTTTGGTTTGCTTAGAAAAAAACAGATAAAAAATGTTTGTTTTAAAATTAAAGTTATTACATTCATGTATCTTTCTGTATGTGCTTTTAAAGTCTTTGTGACATTAAGTTACAGGGCTTTGACTTCTGGTTCTAAAAAGGGCACTAAGTCCTACTAAATCTTAAACACTGACAGCAATTAAAGACTTATCTTCAGGCCCCAGAGAAGATGCCAATCAAAAGAAAATGCATTCCTGGCCAGGCACAGGAACTCATGCCTATAATTCCAGGATTTTGGGAGGCTGAGGTGGGTGGATCACCTAAGGTCAGGAGTTTGAGATCAGCCTGGCCAACGTGGTGAAACCCATCTTTACTAAAAATAAAAAAAAATTAGCTGGTGTCGTGGGATACGCCTGTAGTTCCAGCTACTTGGGAGGCTGAAGCATGAGAATCACTTGAACCTGGGCAGCGGAGGTTGCAGTGAGCTGAGATCATGCCACTGCACTCCAGTCTGAGTGACAGACTGAAACTCCATCTCGATTAAAAAAAAAATGAATGAAATAAAGGAAAGAAAGAAAGAAAGAAAGAAAGAAAGAAAGAAAGAAAGAAAGAAAGAAAGAAAGAGAGAAAGAAAGGAAGGAAGGAAGAAAGAAAGAAAATTCTGTTATTTTCAACAGCAGTCCCCAACATTTTTGATACCAGGGACAGGTTTGGCAGGGGAGGGGTGAAAGGGGAGGGGATGGTTTGGGAATGATTCAAGTACATTACATTTATTGTGCACTTTATTTCTATGACTATTACATTGTATTATATGATAAAGTAATTATACAACTCAAAAGAAAAAAAAGAAACAAAATAAAATAAAAATAAAATGCATTCTTGAGACATAGGGCTAGAAATTAAAGGCCATTCAACTCCTCAAGGCCTAGGGACTATTAGGGAAGAGATGAGTATGTGCAATTGTAATGGCTGATTTTAAGAGACAAAATAAATTCAGTTTCTCTATAAATTAATCATGAATGTCAAAGGCACACTAATGCAAAACCAGCATATGGACTCCTGTGTCAGATTAACAAGATTTTCTTGAAGCATTAACCAACTCCTTAATTAAAGGTCAGAGAGATTATAAAAAGGCTTATGGAACTTATATTTTATGATAAATATTAAATTTTATAGATTTACAAAATTCTGAATAACTAATATAATTGGCTTTATGCTGTTTTTAGTAGGGCTTCTTATTTGGAAAATTAAGTCTCCTCTCTCAAAAAATGAAGGTGTTCCTTTTTTTTTTTAATTCTTGAGTTATCACTTTGGTTAAATGAATGACTTTATAATGATCCTTAATCCTATTTCATAATATCAAATGTTTTAAACCTTTGATATTTGACATTCTTTCTGAAATCAAATTATTAATTATGTCTTCTTCTAACCTAATTAATCCTTTAAGATATTAGCTTTCCTAAAGTCCAAAAATGACATAATTTGGCTTATTTGGTATAAAAATTATACAGGAAGGATTATCAAATATGAAATGGTGTTTGGTTTTCTTTGGGCTGTATTTTTATAAATATGCTATTGGTATGTGCTTCAGAATTATGGGAAACACCTTAATTCTGATATGACAGTGTACATTATCAATAATAATAATAATTTTTATATTAAAATTATTGTATGCCATCAAGGTAACAAATTTCCTTGTCAATTGTGCCTTTGACTATGGCTGCCCTAAAATTTATTATCATCCATGGACAATTGTTGTCATGTTTTGGTCCTCTTTAGAAGGTGGTTTTATAATCAGCTATAAAATTATAACAGGTGCTCTTAAGTGCAGGCTTTGATAACTTTAGAGATGGTAACATTAGAAAAGAGGAAAAACTTCATGACTCTTGGTGAGCTAAAATGTTCATGAGTATTAAGCAGAACGGGAATTAACTGCCTGTACTGAACTCATCTTTTTGACTTTTTACTTAAAATGCTTGCTGTTCCTTTGTTTTGTTTTTCAGAGTCTTATTTTGTCTCTTGAGCTACTGATAGCTTTTAACGATTTAGTATACTTTTATGAACAAAATGTAGAGCATATTTTATTTCTCTGCCTGATTTCTCCAGAATTTGGAAACTATTTATGTGTATTCTTAATTTATGGAAAATACAATTATTAGCACAAGTATAATAAAAATCTGTTTTCCAATGGCCAGATGCAGTGGCTCACGCCAGTAATCCCAGTACTTTGGGAGGCCTAGGTGAGCGGATCAGGAAGTCAGGAGTTCAAGACCAGCCTGATCAACGTGGTGAAACCTCATCTCTACTAAAAATACAAAAATTAGCCACCTGTGGAGGTGCATGCTTGTAATCCCAGCTACTCAGGAGGCTGAGGCTGGCTACTCAGGAGGATGAAAGCTTGAACCCAGGAGGCGGAGGTTGTGGCGAGCCAAGATTTTGTCACTGAACTCTCAGCCTGGACGATAGAGTGAGACTCCATCTTAAAAAAAATCGGCTTTCATTTTTAACAGAACACAGTTGGAGAAACTGGTTATCTTACCAATGCTTTGACTGAAATGGTGTGCTTTCCTTTAAGGAATCAAACTTGACTTATGAAACCAACAATTTCCTTGGAAAAACTGACCTCATATTTTATGTATGAAGTCCCTGTTCAGGGTTTCTGCCCTGCGGTATGTAAAAGATATCACTTTCTGAAAGGCCCAGAAGCTCTAGGTTTATCTTGAAACCTCAAGTGGAGAGGAAATTTATCCATCATAGATATTTGATGGCACAAATCCATTTTTTTAAAGCTCAGCTTTAAAAATCTTATCTGAGATTTCTTCTATGGAACAAGTTTCCACCAAAGACAATTTAAAAGCATATGTTAAAAATAACTTCTCACTGCATTGTATACAAATAATTTGATGAAGTAAAATAAGGCAAAATAGTCCTACCATAATTTGTATTTGGCAAAAATGGGAAAGTGAAGAGAGAAAAATTATGTTTCAAAAAGTATAGTACCTGTATTGTTAGATTATAGTCAGTGTTTTTCAATTTTTATTTTCTATAGTTTGGACCAAATTCTAATTTTTCTTGGCTACAAGTCTTCAAAAAAATGTTTTTAATTTTTTTCTTTCTCTATTCCCCCATTGTTCCTAATTTGGATCTCTAAAATCTAAGCTGTGCTTTCTTAGAGCCCTGCAAACTGAAGTCAGAGAACTTAAACTTCAGATGAAAGTAATAGCAACTTTTTTTCATACATCAGCCACTTTTCATACCTGCCTACTGATTTATGGACTTCAAAGTAATATAGCCTTTATTAATTTTTCCAGGATTGTTCTTTTGTTTCTTGCTGTTTTTCTCCCTTTCTCTTCCTATTTTCTCTTCATAGAGCATGGAAGACTTCGCAATCTGCCAAAGATTAGCTTTTGGGACCTACCCATCTAGTAATAAACCGTCCTAACCATGAGAAATCGGAAGAAACCTGAAACCAGAGACTCACGTTCTCCTAAAATGCTTTCTCCTAAAGATTTTTTAAAAAGGGAAGGGGGAATGTGAAAGGGAATTATTTTGGGCCCCTTCAAACTGGGAACTGCTCAGGGCAAACCTGTCTCTCATTCTATTCGAAGTCATTTCTCTGCTCACTGAGATAGATGCACATTCTGATTGCCTCTTTTGGAAAGGCCTATCAGGAACTAAAATAAAAATGCAACCATTTGTCTTCCACTTATATGAGACCTTGAAGCCCCCTCTCTGCCTCAAGTTGTCCCCACCTTTCTGGATAGAACCAATGCACTTCTTAGATATATTAATTGATATCTCATGTCTTCCCAAAATGCATAAAACCCACTGTGCCCTGACTACCTTGGACTCCCTCAAGACTTCCTGAGGTTGTATCATGGGCACTCGTCCTTAACTTTGGCAAATAAACCTCCTAAAATGATTGAGACTTGTCTCATTGTTTTTCTCAATTGACAAATGATAGTTCAAGACCTCTATAGTTTTCCATAGATCACATTTCATCTTAGATAGGTTCAGGTAAGTATTTACAATTACTGTTAGTTGTCTTGTTTCCTCTGGCCTTCTTTTCACCTAGTTGTCTTATAGTCGCTTCCTTCTTGGCTGTTTTCTTTGACTCATTTGCTTAGAAAATCATTTTACCCTCTTCATTTTGCAATTAAAACCCCTGACCTTATGTAAAATTCAAATCTCTGTTTCTCCTGGCCCTTTTATAACCCTTTAAGAAACACTTAACTGTCTAGTCTGGAGAAATATGTCAGTATTACTTACTTATGGAACATTGCATTGAATTTGTAGATTTTCATTGCATTCTAAAAATATTTGGAAAATTCTAGTTTGTAAAAATTTGATAATAACGTTTGAACTGACCATATGGCTAATACTTGAATGAGTCAAAAGTATTAATCAAATACATTACAAGTATGGGTAGGTATATTCATTAACGCTGGCAGTGTTCTGTTTGGACAGAAAGAAAAATCTTGAATGGGATACAAAAGGAAGCTATGAAGAGTGCCTTACTGAAAATTCTTTAAAAGTAGCCAATGGCATCATTCACTTGGATTGGCAGGTGAGTGTAGGTACACCAAGTTTATTTTTCATTTTTGTCATTAATTGTATGATTTTTGGATACTTGATTCATCAGCATTTCAGAATCCTCATTTATAATACCATGATAGTAAAGTAGAATGCCTCTAAATGTGTAATACTAGAAGTGGTTATGCAAGACAGAAGGTCAGAATTAACCTAGGATGGGAGCTATACCAGGAACCCTTGAAGATAACACCACTGCATTGCTTAGTTGTTTGAACATCTGCCTCCCAAGGCTAGACACTTAGAACTTATTAGGTCAATTACAGCTTTCCAAAAGCTAGGGTAGGTCAGTCTATTTATATTATATTCTTTGTATAACAACTAGGTTTTCTATCACTTTTCCAGATATACATTTTATGGTTTGTCATATATATATGTAGAGTTTTTTTCTAAAACACATTATCATATTTACATAAACATAGTTCTAAAATTATTGTTAAATGCATAGAGTTTTCTTAAAATATCTATATACATTGCAACTTAGGATCTCTGGTTTTCCTTATTTTGTGGCATAAACATTTCCTGGAGTCATAGTAATTTAAGTAAGTAGGATAGCTAAAAATCTGCAGTTTATGCTTTCAAATTTTGTCTGTTTAGTTTCTAAGTTAATAATTATATAAAATCCATAGGAATCTAGACTAAACTAACAAAAATTGAAAAATATCCAATGTGTGGGAGCTATCTGACATGGCAAAATAGTCTGATCAAATTTGTTGAAACCCCCACCCGTTCTTGCTTGTCTTGAATCTGGCTAGGTTGAAGCAAATTCAGTACCTGGTTCACATTGAAGAGCAGGCTCAAGCCTCTTCCAGAGACACTCACTTTTCTCTTTGTTTGGATAGTTTCACCATGATTAAAAGTAAAACAATTTCCATATTCAGTGAAGACATGTGCAAAATCCTCCAATATATAAATAAACCAAAAAAACCCCATCAATTTGATAGTTTTGTCACTTCTAAAGTTTAATTACTATAACATTTTCTTCAAAAGTACAAATATCTAACAAGACTGCAGAAATATCAGAGAGATAGTCTGATTTATATGTATATACAATGATAGTTTTCTTTTTTCTGGTAATACGCGTTTGTCAACTTGCATGTGATTATTTAAAGGAGACATTTACACATAAAATTAAGAATGTATTTCACAACATTTTTAAAAATTACTTGTTTTATATTTTCCTGAAGATGTATGGAAACATGTTTTTCCCTGAAGTAGTGGAGCACTACTTCAGCATCCTTTCTTGGAGGGGCTATGCCTTCTGCAACCTGCATGCTCAGTGTGGCAGTCAATCACATAACTCCATTCCCTTGACCCTCCTTTTCCAGCCACTACAAAGGCATGCATGGGACACAAGTTGGGCCAAGCTTAAACCTCACCTTCTTGACTCTGTGGTTGGTTCAAGAATTGATATGTGTCCCAAGTAGAGCTAATCAGATTCTTTGGTGAGATTATTAAGTGGATACTGGAGTGATAAACTCTGATAATGAAAGTCTAGGGGGAATCAGCAGCCATTCTGGCGAAGTGTGGGGAGAACTCATACAGAAAGAAGCCAACCAGAATTATGAGATGGAAACAAAGTCAGAATCTTAAAGATAGTCTTGGAGTCCATTGGTTTACCATTTTCTGAAGCCAGACCTACTCTTGGAGTTCCCGCTTAATAAAGCTGACTCATTACTTTTACATTTCAGTTTACTGTAACAGAAATGGGATTCTGTAATATGCAACTGAAAAAGTCATCCCTAAAATGAAATTTCTTGGTGGTAAGTTAAACATGTTGGTAAATAAAAACAGCATAGGAAAGCTTATTTTCCAAATTAAGAGTTTAGACCAGAACCTCACCTCTGTGAAGTGTCTCTCAGGCATTACTTTACTGCTTACTGTGTGCTAAGATGGCCTACCAAAAAGATAAGAAATTGTAACCCAGAACCAAGAATTTGTGAAGTTCCTTAGACTCCCTTAACAACCCAGGCTACAGAATTGCTGATACAAGAAATATGGCATCAAATTGCCTACATACTTCCTTGTTAATAGATTACAGATATATCTAGTACTTTATCTTAAATGTAGATTCATTTTATAAATAATAACATAATTTTGTATTTGTTATGCATTTGTGTTGTATTTGTACTTATTATGAGTGAATGTATATTATATATAATTATGTTATTATATATAATATATAATTAAAGTGTATATAATGTTCATAGTTAAATGCTGGAGTCCTCTTGTTTTCTATAGCCTCTAATGCAATACCGAAAGAATAAAAGCAGAGTGATGGATACTTGGTGATTATAAAAATGCTATGTTGGAATAGATTGTTTGTTGATAAGTGAAAAAAATTAAAATACCCTTTTGTGTTAAATTGTTTTTATTTTGGAAGGACTATACTACAAGAAAGGCAATAAAGTTTTCTCTTTTCTTTCTTTTCTTATCTAAATGCTTGAAAGAGGAAATTTGTCTCGTGTATTCCATACCCCTGATATCATCCCGATATCATAAGGCTGAGCTAGTGAAATAGAATCTTTAAGCAAATTTGGATTGATTCACCATGGGAGTAAATGCTGTGGGAGCTCAATGTGAAACAGTACAGTAAAATAATTTATTACTTTAATTGTAGTTGAAGAAATAGCAACTCGTTACCTTTGGGCTACACGGCTTTCCAAAAAAATCACAGTCCAACAAAGTGCTATTGTTGAGATAAAAACCTTTGTTCCTGATAAATTCTGCAATGCTGAAGTTTTGGTGACTTGCAACAAAATCAGTAGCTTCTCTAGAGTCAGTGGAATTGGCAGTAATTTCTCGAAGATGGAGGACTTTGGATACAATGTGCCATAAGAAAATAATAACACCAAATTTGGCTACAGCATCTGTTTGGAACCTATTAGCAGGAATGAAGGCAATAGTTAGAATAATGAAAACTTGTAATTTTCTAGAAGACAGAGACCAACATCTAGATTCTATTAGCTTCTTCTTATCTTCTATACTCTCCCTTATTTGCAAGACATTTAAGCAAAATCTGATTCCTTAGAGGTCTTTGACCCATTTGCAATTAATCTTGGATTTGAACATGTGGTTTTTTTTTTTTTTTTAAAGAAAGGAAGAAAAAGAAAGAATGAAAGAGAGAAAGAAAGAAAAAGAGAAAGAGGGAGAGAGAATGGGAATCTTGCTCTATTGCCCAGGCTAGAATGTAGTCTAAAAATGGGTATTAAAAACCTCTTTTATGCCAATAAATGTACTTAATAATGGAGAAAGAAGGAATAAGGGAGGAAAATAGCAAATAAGCAGCCAACCAATATTTTATTTAAACCTGTGAAATGCTATGCAATTGTTGAGGAGTGATTTACTTCCAATTGTGTGGTCACTTTTAGAATAGGTGTGATGTGATACTGAGAAAAATGTATATTTTGTGGATTTGGGGTGGAGAGTTCTGTAAATGTTTATTAAATTTACTTTTTCCAGGTCTGAGTTCAAGTCCTGGATATCCTTGTTAATTTTCTGTCTCATTGATCTGTCTAATATTGACAATGTAGTGTTAAAGTCTCCCACTATTATTGTGTGGGAGTCTTAAGTCTCTGAACATGTGGTTTCATTTATCTAGACTATTCCCCAGACCTTGATCTGGATGTCACCTAATGGAGCTTCAAGATTCAATTTAAAGGAAGAGGTGGAATTGTTAAGAGTGCATTTAGGAGTCAAATTTCCTGTATGTGGCCGTGTCCTGTGTTGGCTTAGCTAAATTCGAACTACATTTCCCAGCATTCCCATCTTGTATATATGTGAATTTCACTGTTGTGCAGGAGCTGTGGTAGCTCACACACATCCATCTACTGACTCAACTTGTTGTTATCAGGCAGCAGCTGGGACCACAGCTCTTCCAGCTCTTTTGTGACCTATTTCTTCAGCTTCTTCAAATACTGGGTTAGGTAAAAGTGCAACCTGGTAAAGATGACAGCTATCCTACAGGTCACCCACACTATAAAGATTGGAGGTAGTGAAAAAGAGACCTACATTTCTAGATTGTATGTTTCCCCCGCTTCATATCTATTTTCTCTTATAACTGCTGGCCCTTCTGACTTCAGTCCCAGCACTAGAAACAGGCGAAAAACTTAGACTGCTTAACCAGCTAGTACAACAAAGTGGGGCTTAATCCCTAGAAAAAAGCCCTTTATTCTGTCATTCACCATGATTCTGTTTCTCCAGTTAGGTTCTAATTGTTACAACCACTTACTGGTAACACTTAACAAATTTTTTAAATTTCCCTGTGACTTAAGTTTCTTCTCTTGCAAAATCTGTATATATTAATATAACCCACCTCAAAGTGTTATTTTAATGATAACATTAATTGTTTTTCTTAACATTTTTAGACAGTTGCCTGAAATATAGTGAGTGTTAGGTAAGTATTTATTAAAGAAATGACTCATTCTGGCAACCAAAGCAGAAGTAATCTATGTAACTTGATGACTGTATCATTTTCTGATTCTCTTATCTTGTGGGTAATTTTGCCTTGCATTCCATATGGTTCTTTATTTGCATGCCTTCCATTCCTTTACAAACGTGATCAGGACTTTCATATTTTGGATATTATACATTTTGAAACTGAACAAATGTTCTCTACTTGAATTGACTGCTAAGAGCATAGAACAGAAAGTATATTCCACTGTTGGTAAGTATATGGGATATGTGGTTTGTGTGTCATGCCTGAACCTCTTTTGTGTCGCAGATTTTGTTTTCATTTTCCTTTATATTATCTTATCTTGTTTAATATATAAATATATATGTATATATATATGTGTGTGTATATATATGTATACATATATAGAGAGAGGGAGAGAGAGAGAAGGAAATAAAAATATTTACTCTAAAATATATTTTTTTGACATATTTGGAAATGGCTGCCACAGGGTCCATAACAGAAGAGGACTTGCAGAGGCGTCTTTTAGGTCTATATGTCTTTTATGAGGAAAATTTGCATCTGTAGAATACGTCCATTAATGCAGCCAGGCCTCCTATTGCTAGACATTTGCTAGGTGTAGGAGAGATTGAGATTCCAATACCTTTAAAAGTCTAAAAAAAACATTTGCCATCTCTCCTTTCTGAAGAAGTCTTCTCTATAGCAAGGTCACCTTTGCCAGTCAAGCCTCTTCCTTTCTCCCTTCTATAACCTGTATAACCTGTCTTGTCATTAAAACCTACTTTTGGCAATTCTCTGAGCCTGCATTCTTTCTATAATATCAAGATGGTAAATAAGCCTCTGTATCTGTTTGGCATGTTGGGCTTCATTCTGAAGGCTCATGTGTATACACATTAAATATCATTATAAGCCTTTTCTTCTGTTAATCAATCTGCCTCGTGTCACTGACTTCTCAGCAAATCTTTAGGGGGCCAATATCCATCGCCCTCACAATATATACATATCATTTTTCTTTCAAATTCAAGTCATATTAAATCCTTTCTCAATCAAGGTAGGACATACACAAAAATAGAGAAACAACCTCAAGCCAACATTACATACCCTATAAAAAATGAAAAACTGTTTACATAGTCAACATCTAATATTATAGCTTACTTAACTGACTCTGATCTTTGCAAAGCCAGTCCAGACGCTAAAACTCTATATATGTATATAGCCACCTCTGACTTCCTGATTCCAAGGCTCTCTTAGTTGTCTGTCATGGTGGTATTCTGTCTAACTACAGTACATCTAATAACCTTGCTTTCCTTGGTCAAAAATATTTCTTGGATCTTTAAGGAATTAAGAGTTTACATCAGCAAAAGATTTTGGCAGAAGCACAGTGTAAACCCTATATAACTTAAAGCTACTTCGGGTTTCCAACTCCCCTTAACTGACAGGTTCCCAAAAATCTGCTCCTACAACTGTGAAACCTTGCACAGGCGGAGCCAGTACTCCCTGACACATGTTCATTGGATTATATTCAAAATGATTATGCAGAGAAATAAAGGAATTACTATACATGTGGGAGGAATGAATACAATCTACAAAAAGGTTAAATAGGAGGGCATCTTAAAATATTGTTAAGCTTTTTAAAATTTTACTAATAATATTTGAGATCATGAGAGTAATTTATATACATGAATTAAATGTAATAAAGCCTAACAATACTGGGACCAAGGAAGAAAATTTTTCTTTTGAGAGATATTGTTTTACATAAAACAAAAGTATTTTGCACTGTGTTTATTTTCAATTTTATTTTATTTTTTGAGACAGGATCTCAATTTGTTGCCCAGGTTGGAGTGCATTGGCATGAACATGGCTTATTGCAGTATTGAACATCTGGGCTCAAGTCATCCTCCCACCTCAGCCCCCAACATAGCTGGGACTACAGGTGTGCACTGTCATGCCGAGCTAATTTTTGTATTTTTTGTAAAGACAGAGTTTTACCATGTTGCCTAGCCCGGTTTCAAATTCCTGAGCTCAACAGATCTGTCTGCCTTGGCCTCCCAACGTGCTGGGACTACAGGCATTAGCCACTGCATCTGGCTTATTTTCAATTTTAATTTGAACTTCAAAACTCAGAATTCTAAGTTCTCCTTTCAAAAACCTTGCTTAGCTAGAATTTGCCTTACTCTTTAACCCACCAGTTACAAGCCTAGTAGAATAAAATAACAGTAAAAATAAATTAATTTGTTTAAACAATTTAACATCTGGTAACCCATTATCATATCTGTCCTTATGCATAATAATGGTTCTAAATGTGCTTCCCTAAATTATATGACCAAAATGAGTAAGTTTTCTCTAAAATCCAAGTTGATGCCTGACTCAGGCCTTATGTGAGTCCTGCTGAAACAGATCCATTTCTCATATTTATAAGAAATGTACATTTTACAGATAATTTTGTGGAGAAGAAAAATGAGGAACACTGTCTGCCTTTTGTATTCTTCTTTGAACAAATGTTAACGTCTTACTATTCTCTAACTAATAAAACCTTTAATATGTCTTTATATTTATATGAGAAACAATGATTTTTACCTTCAGTTGAAAGCCCTGAACAATTTTTTTCTTGCATCAAACAAATTTGAAATAAACAAAAAAAAAAATCACAGTGATTATAAACATGAAGACCCAGTACCTGAGTTACTCATAAACGAGGGATCAAACAGCATCAGTAGTCACTATATTCAGTCATTATTTCTGATTTTAGTGGAAGAAATTAAATTCTGAAGTTTTTTCATCAAATGAATAAAAATTTTTGATGTATTTTGTGATAAAGATATTTTAGTGAAAATTTCAGGCACAAAGACATTTGAAAAGTACTAGAATGATACCAAAGAATCAAGTCACAAAACATTATTACAATTTCTGGAATTTTTTGTGAAATGTGACTTTTTATGAATTTTTGCCAGTGGTATTCTTAGGGGCTTGTCTTTCTGTTTGTATAACCATTGCTTCATGTGAAAAGAACCTTTTAAAAACTAAAATTAATAAGTATTCTTTAATCAACTACAAGTAAGACTAATCAGGCTGTGCTATGGAACATGAATACATGGATAAAGTTAATTTTGATGAAGTTGTTGACAAATATTCATAAAGAAAGGCTAAAAATGGAAACACAATGCTATTATTTATTTCTGTGTAGAACCAAAGAAAATGACTGAGGTGAGCCTCAATCATTTTAGAGGTTTATTTTGCCAAGGTTGAGGATGAGCCTAGGGAAAAGAAACAAAATCAGAGAAATATCTGTGATTCATGCTTTTTCCAAAAAGGGTTTGGGGACACAATATTTAAAGAGAAAAGAGTGGGCAGTAGGGGGAAAAGGAAGAACAGAAAGGGGAAGGTAAATAATAGGAGCAAGCAGTTGCATGCTTTTGAAGCTTTGATCAATTTCACTGAATTTACATTTTACCTGTGAAAGGAGTGGG